ATTAATGGTAACTTATTATTTAATGAATATAGTTATTTTATCTAATTAATAAACACTTTTATGTTAGTCAATTTTAACAAACATGTATCGAAGTCAACATCGAATGTTCAATGTAACAATAATTTACAGTGTAAAAATCAGTGCTTTATGTCATATCTTTATTGAGTATTCATAAAATTCTCTTTGACATCATTATTCCATGCTGTAATAAACTTATTCTTTATATCGCCTTTGGGAATTCGAAAAGATACTTCAGCTCCATCATGATCTCTAGTCCAACTATTGTCTGCACTCTGAACAGGATTCAATCGAAAAACACGAAATTTAAATTTCATTGAGCCAGCTGTATGAAATCGACATTGATCTTTCATACCAAAGTCAACTTTGCTAGCCCAGTCATATTTTAAATTGGAATTAGTCCAAACTTCATTTGCATACGATGCAAAATTCCACGCTTGACCATCTTTATGTATTTTTCTCATTAGCAAATCGACTGTGACAAGCCATCGTGTAAGAAAGTCTTCGTTGCGAGCTTTTTCAACCGATGCTCGTATGGTTTTCGCAACATTTGATAAAGAAAGTGGATTAGCAAAGTCATCAGATAACATGAACATAATTGAATTGTCGACTTGACCGTCAGGAGCTAATTTATCAGATATACCTCGATAATTAATTAGAGTATTCGTTCTTCGGATGTATTCCTTGTCTGAAACGAAGACATGTTTGTTAAATGTGACAATTATATACGCAGTAAGCGCATCTTGAATTGTGATATCTTCACGTCCTTGTGCAGCTAAACTACGTAGTATTTTTAGTTGATCTGAAGAAAAGGCCATGTGCAACGGATCCGTCGTTGAGTACTCTTCAAGAACATCTGCCATAATGACGTCTCTCTTGCGAGCATCTTGCAATTGTTTTAAGAGGGGCATGAGAGAATAGTCGATAGTAAGGTCAGCATCTTTCTTGATCCACAAATGCCGTTCGAAAATCGGTCCTGGTAGTAGAGACTCAAGATTTTGATAGAGAGACGAAAGATCGTTCAGAAAGTGAACGTTAGAATCGGCGTCACCAATCATATGATAGAAAGAAACACCAAGTATGTATTCACCGCTACGAATTAGACGAGTGACTTTGAATCGAACAAGTGGATCGTCTTGATTGGGTTCGCTTGGAACAGAGTCGACAAATGGTTTTAGGATTGTCTGATCGTCAACTACAACAGGAAGGATAGGCCATCGTTCCAGTTCTTCATTTTCAGTATATGTCAATGGGATAGGATTGTCTGACAGTTCAATCCAATAATGCTCATTGTCAGTAACATGAAGACGACCAGCGACAATTGGCCAACGAGAAATCGTGCGGCTGATTGCACGTTTTAGTTGATCAGTATCAAGAAAATGATAAATAAAGACGTTATCGATAGCTCCCAATACCATATCTACACCAGAAAGTGTGATTTGACGACCGTTTCCAGTCGGACAGTCGGGATAGACAAGTGAAGACACCATATTGCATATGATTTTCAACATCAGGTGACCATATCTTTTATACTCTTGTGTGACGGTTACACCATTATATTATTATATTTCGTCATTCACTCTTATCATCTTTCTCAATGACAGTTCAGATATTACTTGTATGAGCATATGTTATTGAAGAAGGCAACTATTTATTCACACCAAGAAGCTCAAACACAAGAGTTTGATATTACTCACCTCTTGATTTAGGAATATTCCTCTAGGGTAGTGACAGAAAACAGATAAGTAATAACAGCAAAGGTACGACAAAGATATGAAGCCTTCAAATTATATTTTACTTTTTATTGTCTGTATATGAAAATTTTAGATAACTCACTGAGTTCGAACAATAATTAGATGAATATATGAGTCCAATCTTATTATTGCTGATACTTATTTACCCAAAAGTGTCTAACAGACTTGCTTTTAGAAGAATCATGTTCTCATTATATTTGTTAGTCAGATTTAAGCATTGAATCAATGTGTAACCTTGTAGAAGAAAAAATATTAAAATTACTTCATTGTCATTATGACTATCGATAAGTCAATTGATAATCTGTGAAGTAAGAGGAGCCAATAGATATTGACTTGCGTAAGAATTAAATAGTTGGTGCGATTTTCTAATTCGAAAGGTGAATGAGAGAGAATCGAAAAGAAACGTGTTTACAGCTATATTACAACAGCTATTCAATGTAGTTTTCATGTGTTTTAAATAACGATCATCATGAGTTTTAGATACAGTTAGTAAAGCTATGATTAGTTTTAAGTAAGTACATATTGTATATATTTATGGCTAGAGTCTACCGGGATTTGTGTATTCGTTGAAAATCTGTTAAAATTTATTAATCATGATGATATTTTAGCACATCCACACTCCATCCCAAAAATATTATGGTATGCGCTTCCTTTGATTCATGTGTACAGTTTGACTCCGTCTTTGTCTTTTTCCCTTCAATGGAACGTTCTGAAATAAATTTCTTCGTTCTGGTGTTTTTTTTTGTAAGCCTTCTTTTATTTTGTCTCTATAAGAAACACAGATTTGACATTGCATGGTATAATACCAACATGGGCTCTATGGAAGATAAAATTGAATTCATCTTAGCAGATATCAATGACATATTGATTCAATATTGCGCTCATATGTCTGTAACATCAAAATATATATGAAGCCATAGTTATTGCATATCATCGACTCGAATTGACATTGAAAGTGAGTTCAGAGAAACAGAAAGCTAGCATCAATATTATGATAATCAAGAAAGAATCAAACATATTTATTTCAAAAAGAAATAACTAAAACGAACTGATTGATGAATTTCCATTTTTATTTTTTTTTTGAGCAATAATTCGAAGTCTGGGTGAATTCACTGATATAACCGATTTTTTCTTTAAATAACGTCAGAAGGATGTTGCGTATGAGTATAGGTGCAGTTGAAAATAACTCTCAGATGCATACTATCACTCATTCATTCATATTCACATCTATGTAGATATCATCCTATGATGAAAATTTGATTTATATTGTGTTAAAAATGAGAAGAATAGTTTGCCTGGATCTACGAATATAAGTTCTAATCTAATATGATTCAAATCATCAAAATCGATCTTTATAATCAGAACAATCTAGCTTATAAATATTTCCATTGTATAAATATAAATACATCAACGAATATTACTAATATAAAAATGACCTAGAAATCGTTACAATGAAGCTGAACACCATCCAGAGTCTTATTAGTCTATTAAATTCTTTCAAATGTTTCTATTAAAGTGACTAATAAAAATCAATGCTTATTAAGTACCAATATTATCATCGATGTGAATGTTTTCGATATGACATATTATTAATTTTATTTCTGTTTCTAAATCAAGTGATTTGATTCGATCATAGTAGTATTATTCATTCACTATTTTAATACAAATAAGAAGAACATCAAACAATACGTTCCTCTATTTCTAAAAGATTTAAATGAGCACTCATATGCTTTAAAATACAATTTTCTTTAGTTTCTAATCGACTCTTAGTAATCACATACGGCTCAGGTATGAGCTCTTCGATGTTCTTCGTTCTTCCAAGTATGACATCAGCTAATGCGCGAGCACAAAGTAAAATTCGAGGCATACCATGACCATGAAATCCTGCAATAACATATCCATTTGATTGATCGGGTAATTCTCCCACGAATGGTAATAAATCCGATGAATAGCCGAGTATGCCTGTCCAAAATTCTTGACATCCCCCATCATTGGTTCCCCATGCGTCAAAATGCTTGGGCATAAACTCTTCGAAATAATGCTTACTTTTCTCATTATTACATTCGATGCTATCATCCCAATTATTGTACCAAGTTTTCATTTCTGCGACATGCGCTGGTTTTGCTCCACCCAGGATAAGAGATCGATCTCCTGTTTGACGAGCTATCATGTAATCAAATTGATTTTCTTTTATTCGTATTGAATAAGTCATTTTTAAAGGTGATTGTCGGTACCAAAGTGAAGGAAGAATTCGACATATAGTTTCGCGAACAGGTATAATCTTGTTCTTGAATAATGGGAGAATTCCTGCTGTGTATGCATTTGTAGCAAAGATAACTTTAGATGCATATATTGTACCTCGTGGTGTTTTGATTGACCATTGACCAGACGGAAGTCGAGTTGCTGCGAGAACAGACGTATTTGTTTGCAAATTCATTCCATGTTCAATGCACTTATAGAGAAGATGATGAATCAGTTTATATGGATGAATACTAGCAGCTGTAAATGTTATGCCGTAGACAACATTTTTCACTTTAGTGATGGCAAGAAGATCTTCCGTAGGTATTTCGTGAATATCATCGATATCTCCACCATCAGCGTGACGTTGCTGAAACGAAGCTTTACTTTTTTCAGCTAGTTCAGAATTAATATACGCATCACAAGCTCGTGTTATTTCCCAATCGCATTCAATATTTTCTTCTGATATGAGCGTTGACATAGCCTGAATATGTTTCGCTTCGAATTGCATCAATGACTCCGCTATTTGGCAGCCATACTTTTCTGAGTATTGTTTATAGGAATAATAAACATCGGGCTTTACGTGTCCGCCGTTTCGTCCCGTTGCTCCTGAGCATGTTTCACGAGCTTCAATCATTATTATCATTAATGAATTTCTATTCGCCTGTCCATATTTATAAAGATAATAGGCACATGTTGAACCACTGAATCCGGATCCAATAATGACAATATCAGAATGAAGAGGTAAATCAGTTGTTGAACGATAATTTGCAAGTTTGTCAGGATTAGACATCCAATATGATCGACAGTAATTATCAACTGCGCAAATGTCTTCAGACATGATGAAATGAAGATGTTCTCACTTTTTTCAAAATATATCTAACACATTTCAATTTGGTATTCGCTTTTTATACTCAAGTTACGTCCATCCTGATGCTAACGTTACAAAGCACACACAACGACGTGTCGAGAGTGATAAGAAAAGGAACAATAGGAAGAAACAAAGAACCAATCTATCCTATCAGCAGAGGGCAGTTCTAAATAGTTGGGATTGGGACAACACATTAACGATACATTGATTGCATTTAAATGGTTGGTTTGCATGGTGAATGAAGCATTCCATCACAATTGAAAAGCATACGTCAATACTTTACAACAGAGTTTATGTATACTTGATACATATTTTTGGTATTCTTAGTTGTTAAAATTTCATGAATGACTCATTCTCGATTTGTTGCATCACTCCATCGTTTTTGAACTTCGAACATCACCTGCGATTATCAGTATTCCATCTGCAAACACCGAGTAGGACAAATCAAATCAAGTACTTCTCTTCTTAGGTGATTATTTTAATTGCGTTTTCTCCTATATTTTTGTGAGTTGACTCTTAATAAACCGTCCTCCATGTTTGTGCAGAACAAATGAAAAGGTATTTGAATGCAAAAGATTTTACATAATATTTGTCGATTAATTACGCTTTATAGGCGATATTTTTATTATTTTCTTCGCAGATCCTCGGCTTGTTTCATTGTATGTAAAGTATAGATGATAGTTGCGTTCACACGCACACGACGAGAGAGAAAGGTAAATACAACAAGAACGTCGCAGTATTCACCAAGCCTTTTTATGAAAGCATATAAGTAAGCAAAATAAATGATATTTTAAGTATATGTTTATAGAAATCATTAGGTCTTGTTTGAAGTGTTTTGTGTTATCGCCGTATCTAGTCGAATTTTGGATGAAGACATTTCAGAATCAGTTTGATCACCATAAAAATCCTAATTAAGAATAGAGACGTGTGTGATGAGCAATGATTTTGATACCAGCCAGCATCATCGAAACTAAGACCCTAGACCAGTCTCAGAAACATTTGACTCTGTAAGGATGATTTTTGTTTAAGAAAAATTGAACTTCGGACTGTGAAAAACAGATTTCTCTTCATGTGTAACAAAGCATTAACTTCATGAATTATCATAAAATTTTCGCTTTGGTTATTTCTGAGCTCATTCCAGTGTTTTAAGTTTCTTTGAAAACTTCCTATTGTGTTTACGAGATTGTCGATTGATACGAGAACTTTTCAAAAATATTCGTTAAAATTGACAGCTGATAAAGTCAGGACCAAAATTCTTCCTACTACTGTCTTGCATTTATTCTCTTCTAATACACGGTCGAAGTTTTGAAAAATCTTCTCAACGAATTGCCGTATAATCTGCAGAGACTTTGAAAAGAAAATCATCTATGAAAACATATTTGTAGTTTTGAAACATTATTAAATTATAAACTTTTCATAATAAAAACCTTTAAATAAGACTTAAAAAAATTCTTTTCTTAAGAGAGTCTGTGGAAACTATGCCATTCTTATATGCTGTACATTCATGTTTCTCTTTTGACACAATCAAAAATTTTTAATGATGAATTGAATGAAGATTTTTATCATAGAAAGATGGCCGAACTGTATAGTTGATCATTTAAAACATAACTTTTCAAAATATTTGACCATTCCGGCTAAATCAATGATTAGATGAAAACAATTCTCCAACATTATATTCAGTCTTATTAGTGTAATATTCGAAAATGTCTAATGTCTGCTACACTTCAATAAGAATTACTATGATTATTATTGGATAATTATTTATCATCAACCAGTTATTAACCGTCACTAACTAATTATTGATCATTATTAACCAGCGAACATCAAGAATTACAATTGACTTTTCAATTAACTAATATTAGTCAAAAACATACCAAGGAAAACAACAGCAGAAATTTGAGTCTAGAAGCCTGCTGTTTTACTCGTGGAACATACTATCACTGTTAACCAATTATTACTAAGTGACGACTATCTAGTAGTACATTCATTATCAAATATAATTGATACTTGTTAGTCGAGTTTAGATCATTATCAAGATTACTAGACTCATAATGAATCATTCATAATTTACAATCGTTAATATCGATACTAAAAGAATAAAAGAGCGATGAGTGTAACACGACTACTTGAGTAACGACAGTAGTTAGTAATCTGCAATTTTCAGCAATCGTCACTCTACTAAAATTTTAGGCTATGACAGAAGATGTTTCAACAAATTGAATGACAGTATTTCGCCCACAGATAGATCTACTTATGAATAGAAAATTTCTGAAAATTCCAATTGAAAAAAATATTTTCTTCGCAAAATATTAAATTTCAAAATCAGCTAAAATCTTCAAGATATTTCTGTTGATAACTAGATTTTCTTTGAAAAGATGATCTAAGGATACTTTTTCTTTTGAGACGTTTTCTTTCGTACTGAGATCTACTTTACGTATAGAGTCCGAACTCAAAAATGATTTATTAATCGAAGTAGTTCCTTCATAAGACCTATCATTTGTCTTTTTCTCACTTCTGTTTTACACTGACGCTGATATTATGATATTCAATGATTACCGTTAAGAGTTAAACACTGTGATACACTAATCAATTCTATGTACGCCTGTCATCTTTCGAACTTTTTTTTATTGGACAACACAATAAATTTACACTGATAAGCCCATGCATGAAGGACTTTAATAATTTTTTGATTGGTGAATATTTTATGGTGTTCATATCATTCGATTATAATTTCCTCCGATCAATTGTTGTTCTTCTACTATCGGAGTACAAATAAATAAACGCAGAGAAATTTTTATTAAATATGTCAATAAAATATTCGTGAATGTAGCATTTGATTACCTAAGTTCTAATTTTATTAATAAAACAAAAGTCAGACATGTTTTCATTTCAATATTCTACACACATAGTAACAAATGATTTTTTTTTGCTTCTCATGAATGTTTTTTATTTAATTATAATTTATCATCATTATACTCGATTTGATTTAATTTTAGGCAATTGTATACACGAAATACTTTGATCGCACAAGATATTAGTAATTATTCATAGTTTTGATAGAAAGACAAATTTATCTTAATATAAATTATATCATAAAATGTAATTTTGATTTTGATTAAATAGAAATATGAAAGTCAATATGCATATTCTTATGTATGATCATGAATTTGTAATTATTGTATTTCCTATTTTTTAGATGTTGCTGAAATCTTTTCTAACGGTGCTTTTATTTTTATTTACTTCGGCTGTTGATCCATTTGAAAAATTTGCTGAATCAACAACACGTCATACAAATAATTGGGCTATTCTTGTTGATACATCTCGTTTTTGGTTCAATTATCGACATCAAGTTGCATCCTGTATTTTTCCAATCATCAGCAGAAATATTTCCAAAATATATAGTTTTTTTTCTTTTGTTCTAATCATCGATAAATAACGTTTTCTTTGTAATTTCTTCATCATCGTATATTTAAGGTATACCTGATTCAAATATAATTCTAATGTTAGCTGATGATATGGCATGTAATCCTCGTAATCCTCGTCCAGCTGAAATATTTAATAATGTTGCTGAACAAATTAATGTTTATGGTGATGATGTTGAAGTTGATTATCGTGGTTATGATGTTACAGTTGAAAATTTTGTACGTATATTAACCAATCGTTTACCTGAAGTAACACCTGTATCAAAACGTTTATTATCCGATGAAAGTTCAAATATATTTATTTATATGACAGGTCATGGTGGTGATGGTTTTCTTAAATTTCAAGATAATGAAGAAATATCTGCTATTGAATTAGCTGATGTTATTGAACAAATGTGGCGTAAAAAACGTTATCATGAATTATTTTTTGTTGTTGATACATGTCAAGCAGCAACATTATTTGAAAAATTTTATTCACCAAATATTTTAGCTGTTGGATCATCAAAACGTGGTGAAGATTCTTTATCACATCATGTTGATCCTAAAATAGGTGTTTATGTTATTGATCGTTTTACATATTATGCACTTGAATTTCTTGAAAAATTAAAACAAGATTCACAAAAAACAATCGATGATTTTTTTCATTGTTGTCCAAAACATTTATGTATATCTGAAGTAGCATGGAGAACAGATTTATTTACTAAACGTGATTATCGTAAAACACTTTTAACAGATTTTATTGGTAATGTTCGACGAACACAAGTTGTTACATTAGATAATCAATTATTAGATAATATATTTATAAATATAATAAGAAATCAATCATTTGACGAACAATATGAATCAAAACAACAATATGCTTATGTTTCACAAATGCCAATTTTAAACTAATCTGTGATTTGAATTTGTAAATAGTTGGTTCTTATTCTTTTTTTTTTTTTTTATTTCTATTATACAACTCCAAAAAACGATATTCAATCAATTTCTTTAGAATAAAAACCATTTTTTTTCTTCTTTGCTTATTGTAATATGAGAAATTAAAAGTTTACTAACAGATTATTGAGAAATTGTTGAAATAACGATTTCTCTCTTATTTCATAGGCCATTAAAAATATTTATATTAAAATGTTTTTTTTCTTTAATCAATATATGAATCATGATGACATGGCTTCCTCATGGTCAAGTTGACAATTCTATTATGTTCATGTTATTTGATGATTTTGTTGATATAGTTTTGTTATTG